ATAAAAATAGTTATTACTACAGCTATTTAGTAGAATGGAAAAATGAAAGAGATAATGCTATAACTCTTTTTGAGGATTTGTTTAAGGAATATCAAGGATTATACGGTACTATACAAGAAGAAACAGCACCACCTCCGCCCCCGAAATCAAAAAAAGGTTTTGCCGGCATAGTCGGTGGCCTTCTTGCAAAGAAAGGGAAACGTGCCCAGTCTTCGACGAGTTCAAGTGGTACAACAGTAAGCTCGCACAACGAACTTGCTATGTACCAGGGTGTGCCATGCGATTACGATGACGACGATGTCGATTTTGACGTGCTCGGATGGTGGAAGCGGAACGAACACATGTTCCCATGTCTCGGCATGCTAGCAAGACAAGTGTTGTCCGTCCCAGTATCAACCGTAGCAGTTGAACGAGAATTTAGTGCTGGCGGCAACATTCTAACCAACTACCGAAGTTGTCTTAACGTTGAATCTCTTGAAACACTGGTTTGCAACCAAGATTGGCTCTTGGCAAGACGTCGGGCTCAAGAGTCATCGTACCAACTCGAATCGGAGCATTACATGAATGCAATCACAGATGAAAGTCCGAGTTCTGAAGAATAAGTTATAAATTTTTTTTATGTTAATGTAAATATGTAATTAATTTTTTAGGTGAGCGATATATAAGCTCCTTCGAGAGTTTCTTTACGGTTCTTTACCTCGTCGCTTTTTTTGAACCGTCAGGATATTAAATGTGGTTGTTCTTCCGTTAGTGTATTACTCATTTTCAATATTTAAATAACAACTACATTTTTAGATTTTTTATTTCATTCTTTCCTTAAACAATTGCAAATTTACAATTTTATACTTTTAAAATTTAAAAAAAAGCAAAAAAAAAAATAGGGGGGGAACCGGTACCGGCCGGCACGGTGACGGTTCTGGTTACATGGGGTGGCGGTACCGGAACCGTCCCGGAACCGTACCGTGTCCACCCCTAGTTGGACAATTGACAATTAATATGTTTGATGCTATGTTTAATTTCTTTTTTGAACTGGTTGCTATTTAATTTTATTTATGTTTCGGATAATCGGATACGAATATTGGATTTTCAGATTTCTAATAGTGTAAACGGATAATCGGATATTCGGATTTTAGGAAATTTGGATACTTAAACGGATGTTTGGTCGGATATATCTGAATCCAAAAAAATCCGACGGTTTCGGATTCGGATTTGAAAGTTAAAACATCCGTCGAATTTGGATGCGGATTCGGATGATGTTTCGGCTAAATGGATTCGGATACGGATGATGTTTCGGCTAAACGGATGCGGAGACGGATGTTGTATATCCGAGGCAGATTTTATCCGTTTACAGCTCTACCAAAAAAACTTACGTTTTCTACCGGTTTGATTTCCACACAAAAATACATTATTCACATATTTATATCCATACATTAAACCTGTGCAAATAAGGATCCGGACTGGATCTGGGCTGGATTTGATATAAATTATTAGCCCATTTACATGGGCAGGCCTGGCCCGGCCCAGATTTGATGGGCTAAACTCTTTACCCATACCCGCCCATCTTTGCGGGTCGGACTGCCCACCGGGCCGCCCGGCCCGGATAAAACATCAAGAAAACTTTTTTTGTACAATTTTTTTTTAAAAAACATTGAACTCTTTTTTAATGTTTAAAATTTAATAACCAGTAACCACATTTATATAGAAAGCATAATAGAGATATTGTTGCATAATTAATAAATCCATCATACCGATTCAGTAAAAGAGTATTGATTTTTGTTTGAAAGAGGTGAGTGAATTAAACTATTATACATGAATTATAGAAAATTTTAAAATTTATATTGGCTAGGTAATTAAAATAAAATAAATCCTTTATATATAAAATTTGTGAGTTCAGCTTCTAGAATGATGACATTTGGCATGCTGACTGGACAGAATTTTAAACAACTCATCTGCCATGTCATCAAAGGAAGTGCAACAATTGTGATTTCTTAATTATTTCGGATCTAAAGGACCCTATCCAATGAATGGCTGGATATTTAAGGAATTTTTTTTTTTTGAAAAAATTTAAACGACTCATCAGCCATGTCATCAACGAAAGTGTATCAATCAGACAATTTTTTTGACATGTCAGCATGTCATGTCATCAAGTAATATTTAAGCAATTAGTTAGCAAAAACACTTAGAGGATGTTTGGTAGTGATTAATTTATGGATAAAGTGATTTTCACAGAAGATGAAAGCAAAAACACATCATTACTACTTCTCCGAAACAGTGTTCTATGTAAAAAATAGTGGTGGAGAAAAGAAGAAGCTGACATGCCAAACAGAGTAAAATTACTTTCCTTCATAGCATAAGCTAAACTCTGAAAAGCAGCGCACTACCAAACATCCTCTTATTCTGTGGAAATTAATTTTCGTATTTGTTACACATAAATTTCTCATCATAATCGCGTTTAAAAACTTTTATATCTTAATTCATAGTTGGAAAGTATTTAAATTAAATAATATATTTTGAAATTGAAAAAAACACTAAAAGATATTACATGTGAATATTTACTTTTTCTTTAAATCTTTATATATAACATTTAAAAGTTAGACTTCTAGAATTGTAACATGTGGCATGTCTATTGAGTATTTTTTTGACATGTTAGCAAGCCATGTCATCAAGTAATGTTTCAAGAATTAGTTAACCAAAAAAATTTCTTCTATGGGAATTAAATTTTGTATTTTTTACACACATATTTCGATACATAATCGTGTTTAAAAACTTTTATATTTTAATTCATTATTGAAAAATATTTAAGTTATATAATATATTTTAAAACTTAAAAAAGAACTCATATTCAAGAACAATGATAATAAAGATAAATTTATTCTAAGAACGGATAAAGTGATACGACTAAAAGAAATTACATGTGAAAATTAGTTTTTTCTTTGAATTAATACTAATTGGAGATATTTTCCAATTTCTAAAAAGGAGAAACAAATATATAAAAGGAAAATGATTTTTATGGACATGTTTATTTAATAGAGAATTTTTATTCCGTATATATTAAAAAATTCTAAGTCAAATAATAATTATATTCCATTTTAAAATTATCATTTTTATTTTAAAATTATTTTTCATTGCTAACTTTATAAAAATTTATAGATTTGTGTCACAAAACTTACTACTTTTCATAAATAACTTTGTAAAATGATGAAATCTTGGTACGGGGTATTTATGTGTAAGAAATTATTTATTAATTAATATTCCTAATTGAATTATTTATGGTATAATATATATAAATTGTTATAAGTGGAATTACTTATAAATAAAATTCTTGAAAAATTTAAAATGTGCTTATTTTGACATCCATGTCAAAATAATGTAAATAAGTAATATTCTCGCTTATTTATCCACTTGACCATTGACAAGAATTTAAAAAATATTAGTGGATAATAATTTTTTAATATTTAAATATTTTAGATAAAAATTACAATATTTATTTTATGATGATTATTACAGATATAGAAGGAGAAAGGTCATCATCGGTTATAGTCTCACATCATCGAACATGTTTGATAAAAAATGTACTCTATGATGTGATAGATGATATTTCTATTATTCTAAATGAAATATTTAATTTTTCCTGAAAAATTAGCTACACGGTGCTCTAACTATAGAGCAATTATACACACACTTTGTCGCGCTTTCAAGTGCAAAAGAGACCAAAGATAATTGATCTATCTTCTATAACACACACAATTAATTTCTTTAAAGGTGATAATATAACAATTGTCTTTTTTATTAACTAATTATATGCACAAGATATTAGAAATAATGTAAGCAAATACTGCATAAATTAATATGGTGGACACACTTGATATATTTTAAATTTAGATGTCGAGGTGGCAGATTCATCATCTCAAGACACATCAATGGAATCATTTTTAGATAATTCTGCATTTAGAGAAACAAAAATTAAAAGTATGTTTAGATTATTATATACGCAACACATAAGTTGTGTAGAATACTAAATATATATATAAAAGACTGGTTATATTATATCTTATTTTTTCTTTGGAGATCATCAATTTTTAGGATCCAACATTTATGTGTGAATTTTGGGAAGCTTTGTTACGGTATAAAGAAAAAATAAAAAAAAGTAAAGATTCAGAAGATCTAGAATTTTCAATTTGTTGTATGAAATGGAAAATAATGAGAGATGTAATGAGCTTCACTGACAATAACTCCATAAATAAACCATTCGGAGGGAAAATAACTATACTTGGAGGTGATTTTATCCTTATTCTTAATGTTTTACTCAATGCTTTGAGAGAAGAAATTGCATGTGCTACCGCCAATTCTTCAAAAATATGGTTGTGTTGTATATGCATACATTGATCAAGAATATGAGATTGCATTCATCTACACTCTCTTGCACGAATTGGACACACAAGCTTTTTATTGGATAATTAGAGTTGAAGATGGAAAGCTTGGATAAGTACTTGATGAAATTGTTGACATCGAAATCCTGTCTTAATTCTTGATTCTTGACACAAATATCTCCTCAAGAGTATAGTGGACTTCTTTTATCCAAATCTTTTAGAGAACATGAAAACTAAATCTGTTTTAGAATAATGCATTATTGGCACCCGCCCTCGAGACTTTTGAATGGTAAATGAAGTTGTCCAATCCTATCTAGAAGGAGATAAAGAGTACCTAAGTTCAGATTCTTCATGCCAAGCATATTCAAATGTAGGTGTTGAAGATGATTGGGAAACATTTAGTTTTTTTAATGAAATCAAATGTTCATGGATGCAAAACTATAAAATAGTTTTTAAAAGGAGGTACTAATTATGTTATTGAAAAATATTGACCAAATATCTAGATTGTGTAATAGTGAAATATTAATTGTTGATGAGTTCCAAAAGAACATTACCAATGCCATTGTGGTTTTGGGAAATTGATTTGGGAAAAAAGATTTATATACCTCGAATAAATTTGGTATCATCTAATTCAAGACTAACCCCGAAGTTCTAGAAAAGATAATTCTCAATAGTCTTATGTTTTGCTATGACTATTAACAAAAGTCAATGTCAAACATTGTCTTTTGATATACTCTAGGGTTTTATATTTAACCAATTTAGTATTTAGTCATGATCAACTTTATGTTACTATTTCACGAGTGAAGACAAATACATGATTAAAAATATTAGTTCTAGATAACAATGAAATCCTTACAACCATACCAAAAATATTGTGTAGCCTAGAGTTTTTTAGAAAAATTAAAATTAGAGCGACTTTCTAGAGTACACTTCTAATTCCTCAAATATTATATATTCTACTTTAGTATTGTTGTTTATTGATTAAAAATCGTGTTAGAAATATATTTACTTGATTTCGGAAAATATATTAGATTGAAAAAATTCAGAATCAACAATAAATTCTTTCGACCCCGTGCATGGCACAGGTTAATATACTAGTATATTTGATGAATATGGGCGGGCCTGTTGGCCTAGATGAGCTAAAAGTAACTTCCAAATATGTCCATATATAATTCGGGCTTGGGCCGACCCGCCCATTTGGGTATTAAAGATTGTCCATATCTGCTTTTTTTAAAGGGCGGGCTGGGCGGGCCAAACGGACCGACCCTTGTTTGCACAGGTCTATCATACATGTATTTGCAGTATATTATTTCTATATTTCTACATAGATACATTTTGTTCCAAAATGGGTACCGATGAATCAATTTCCTTTGAAAAATGCTAGGGGTACACCTTTGGTGTACCCCAAATATCCACACCCCCTCCTTGTCCACTAAAAAGGCAAAAAAATTTAAAAAAATTAAGTAAATAAAAATCAAATAAAAATGTGTGGAGAAAAAGAGGGTGGTGTACATTTGGGGTACACCTTTTGGTGTACCCTTAGCATTACTCATTTCCTTTAGTTGGGTTCTTGACCTTGGTTTCTCATCCTCACCAAATTCAAGTAGGGTTGAACAGATACCGGGTCAAACTTGTGTACTAGACTGGAATAGTTGGTTTCGGGTAGGACAGGGTTTTTACCGGTACGTAGTCAGGTAGTTCATACTCTTTGGATCGATAAAATTCCCATTAATTCTGGTCCAGATCTGAAATTTAATTAGGTTGGGCCGGTAAAACTAGATTAGTAGCCCACTTCTAAATATGTAATCCAAATCTGCAAAGCCCATAATAAAGTTTTAGTAGCCCATCTTTTAAGACCTGCCCTATTTCCTCAATCCTCTAAATCTCCAAACCTAATATGCAATTGAAACCCATTTTCTAAAATCTAGACATTTGTTTTGTTTATAGAAATTGAAGTTCTTTACTGGATATAATTTTTTAGTTTATAAAAAACTAGATAGTACGTTTATGTTTTTTAATCGTGACACTTATTTTGAATCTAGACACCATTTACTAGATATCATCGTTTGAAATGGACACCAATTTCTAAAGATTAGAAATTTTTTTAGTTCATGAAATGTGAAATTCTTTACTAGATATCATTTTTTAAGTTTATAAATAAAATAGATACTATGCCAAACACTCAATCCATTTTTTCCAGGTTTTACTCACATCAGACCAGAAAAAATTGGTCCAAACAGTTCCGAACAAGAATCAAACATGTCCAGTTTTCAGTCCTCTATGTAAAATTCTGATTTCCAATTTTTTTCAATTTTGATTTGGTCCAGTTCTAGATCGGTGTATGTTGGGGACTTGTCGTGCGGTCCAAAACAAATTAAAAATTTATAAATTATCCTTAGCTAACCCCCAATATATAATCAAATAAAAACTATAGCTAGGGCAAGTAAGGGTCGATCCCACGGAGAAAGTTTGTACTTTTGAAATCAATTAAGCATGTAAACACATTGTCACGAAATAAAAATAAAACTAACTACTACACATATGATATTACGTATAAAACTTATAATAAAACATATTCAAATAAACATAAGAACTTATAAATATGACTTATATAAACAACGAACTTATAATATAAACTATAAAAACAAAACAAATACCTAAGTATATATAAGTATAAAAACTTATATTTATAACTTATAAATAAACACTTATAATATAACTTAGAAAACAAGGGGGGGTTGGATGAAAAGTAAGTATTTTTTGGTTTTTTATATTTTCTAATTTTTTTTTTGGTTTTTTGATAAAATGGGGGAAAACAAGCTCAAAAGATAATCAACTTCTCCAACTAAAGTAAACCCAAAAAAACACCACCAAGAACCCGAAACAAAATGAAAAAGAGAACGAACACAAATCAAACATTACACGTATAATAGGCACGTAGACAATATATTACGTAACTTACGCACTTAAGAATAGAAAAAATCAATCAAAGACCGAGTCGATTCATTTCCTTAACCACGATATGGAGGATTGTCAACTCTCCACACGGCCCGGAGTCATGCAATTCAAAGGCCCGTTTTGAAATATACCTTAGAACCCCAACTCTCTATTCAAGCATGAGAACATACTTCCATTATAGAAAAAGTTTATAAAAGATAGAATCTATTATGCATTCAACTCTCATACATAATCTATTCACAAATCGCCAATACCTTATGCATTTTAACAAACTTTTTCTCCTAATGATGAGCACATTTCACAGATTTCCATGAACTTCTCAAACCAATGACGTTTTTTCTATTCACATAAATGAACACAACATATTTTCAATAAATCGAGAATTGTTTTTGAGCTTAAACAACCTTAATTCAATGAAAATAACGAACAAACATACGGGAAAACACACAATCACTCAATAACGAATTCTAAGAAAAATGAATCAACTTATGGGGCTAAGAAGTCCAAATTCCTTAAAATCAACAAACACAAATCACAAAAAAGATTCACGTATGAATTCGGAGTTCATTTAACTACCTTATGGAGCTAAAATAGCTTCAACAAAAACCGAATTCCACATACCAACCTACTTATGAAATCAAATTATACAATTCAACCAATTCAACAACAACTTGCTCAATAATTGATGAAAAACTAGTATGAATCAATTCTCATTCATAAGAGATTTAATATAAACATAAAAAAACCCATAAAAGAACACCAACCATTTTTTTAGAATTTTATGAAATTAACATAAACAAGGTAAAAAAAAGTGTAAATTAGAATTGAAAAACAACTTTTACAAAGAAATTGGAGAAGAAAAAGAAAGTGACAAATATAGGGTTACCAATTGTTGAAGAAGATGAAGAAATTGAATAATTGAAGCTTGGAGGAACCATGAACGGTGCTGGAGACCGCCGCCTACCGTCGACCGGAGCTGCAACCGCTACCGTCGCCGCCGCTGGTTGTCGCCTCCTCCACCGCCCACCGCCGTCGGAGCTGCGTAGATAGCAGCGTCTAGAGCCGCTGCGTAGATAGCAGCGGCTAGAGCCGCTGCTTTATTCTCGGTGATTCCCCTCTGCTTCCCCCCGTTTTAGCTGGTGATTCTGTGCTCAATTTATAGTGGAAGCTTTTCTTCCCGTTGGAGCGTTTGGGCGAATTTGGCGGAGAGACGTTGGAGAAGATGTGCGTTACTTCGATCTGGGCATTGGCTTCTTGCGGAGAAGAAGTCTCCGTTTCTTTTGTTTTTCCTTTGCCGTGCGTGAGACTGAAGAGGAGAAAGAGGTGTTGGGCTCATCTTATTTTGTTGATGGGTTTGGGCTTCAGCCCAAGTTCAATATCTTCTTTCCAAACTTGAACTTCATTTTGGTCTTATGCTATATTTTTCTAAAGATAAGGTATCTGATAATTTTGGGTTAAGAAAAAATAAAATGAAGACAATAATAAAATGTTAAAAAAATGATTAAAAACTACTTTTTTTGAAAGAAAACTAAAAGATTGTAAAAATTAGAATTAAAATAAAACTAAGCTAAACAACTAAAAATTAAATACTAAAATTATTAAAAATACCTAAAAAAGAATAAAAAGAACTAACCCAAAAATGACTTATCAGTGTACACCCCTAGCCTCAAACTAGTATATTTCTGAAAGTTAAGGATGATATTGTTAACATTGTTTCCAATTTGATTTGTTCTCTGTTGTGAATCAAGTATTTATCTTGGTGGCATTTTGCATTACAAAACACCGTTTGATATTGCTTTTGAATTCAACGGTATTCTTGACATGGTGTTGACACTTGATACTGATTTTTGACATTGTTTTGGCGCTTGATATTGTTTTTGGTTTCATAACTATCCCTCATTTTTGGCTTTGTTTTGATCGATTGGCATTTTGGCATTCTTTTGACAATTTCAAGGGTTCCAATAGTAATTGTAACATTATGGTAGTGGCGATATGTGGTGGCATTGTATTTGCATTTTGGATTTATTTTGATCGAGTGCGATTTTGGTATTCTTTTGACAATTTTAAGAGTTTTGGTAGGGAATATGACATAATGGCAATGATGATATATGGTGACATTATATTTGCATTTAGGCTTTCTTTTGATTCAATGCCATTTTAGCATTCTTTTGACAATTTCAGGGTTTTGGTAGTGATTGTGACATTATGGTGCTATGATGCTAGTATTATATTTACATTTTGGATTTGTATTTATCTGACTCCATTTTGGCATTCTCAGGCAATTTTAAGCATTCTAATAGTGATTACAACATTATAGCGGTGACGAAAGCTAGTGTGCTGACACTATGTTTATGACTAACACCGGTGATTGGTGGTGTAACTGATGGCAACGATATATTAAGGATGGCAGAAGCAAATGTGTGGTGGATACTATGTTGGATGGCAATTTAGGCATTGTAATTTAATTGTTATTTTTTACTCCATAAACAAAATTATTTGTATTAAAAATACTCGATATAGGACATAAATGTCTAGGTTATTGATTTAAGTCCTTGTTGATATAAAAATATTAAAATTATGTTGATAAAAAAATAATTTAAATCAAATATCACAAAATTATGGTGACATAACTACATTATTACAAAATCAACAACTAAACAAAATACCTAAAGAAAAGAAAAGGATACATTTAATTAAGTCATTTTTGAACTAATAAGTAACGTAAATTTTAATTATTTGATCAACATATTTTGTAAAATTTAATTATATAAAATCAAACTAGATAAAAACGTTAACACAAAATTTCTTTGAATAATAAATACTTTGTGTTAAGTTTGTATTTGAAGAGAAATGAGTGATAAAAAAAAAGGAATAGTGGGCTAGATGATAAGATGGGTTAGAGGGTATTTGGCAGGAGATACGTATGAGGTATGGATGGTAGAGATCTATGGGAGAGTATATATATATATATATATATGAATATATATACTCCCTCCGTCCCCCTAAGATCTTCTCGTTTTGACTTTTTGCGGTTTTTTAGGAGAGTTGAAAAAAGGTGAAAGTTTACCATAATACCCTTAATGAAAATGGGTGGAGTGTATTAAATGAGGTAGGTGAGATGTAATAAATAAAGTAAGTGGGGGTAGTTGTGGTATTTTAAGTATTAAAAAAGGTAATGAGAAGATCTATGGTAGACAAATAAAAAGGACTAATGAGAAGATCTATGGGGGACGGAGGGAGTATATTCATAATTTGCGTCGAATACCTTTCAACCATCTTGTCAATTTTGGCATCTTACCCACCTCATTCCATCATTATCACCTAGCTACAAAAGCAGAAAAAAGAAAGCCTAATTACCCATTTTTAGTGCTCGTAATTAATTAATTAACAGTGGTAATTTTGTTAGTATCCCACCCCTACCCCCCACCCTACGTAACTTGCCTTTCTCATTTGCCGTATTTTTGCAAAAAGCTAATCCAAGTCTACGCGTACTTAACCTCTCATCCTCTTTCCCACTTTTCACATACCAAATCTAACCCATATTTTGCCTCCTTTATTTCTCTTGCCTCATCTTTTTTGTTTATCAATCAATATTTTGTCTTCTCAATTTTCAATCAAATAGTTGGGGGGCCATTTTTCGTGCAACGCCGTCCCTTTAATAAATATTTTTGTTCGATTTTGCATCTAAATAAAAAATGTTTCATAAAACACTTAATCTTTTATTTTTTTTTGTTTTCCTCAAAACACTTTCATTTTCTACTAAAAACACATTTTTACCCATATTTTTTCTTTCCCTAGCTATTACATCATACTTCTTTATTATCATCACATCTTACTTTTATCCATTACATTAAAGGGAATTAGAAAGTCATACAAATATACACTCTTTATTTTCTTGAAGTCAAAATAGGAGCCATTTTATTAAACCGAGGGAGTAATATAATGTGTGATTAAGATTGTTTTGAAGATACTAAAAAAATGGTGATATATGATGAAACCAAAATTCTTACGGAATGCCAAAGGCCTTATAGAGTATTTTGAGATAAACTACTAAGAAATTAGTAGGGAAGAAGTGCTTAATGAATTGGTTAATTTGAATTGAACGGATAAAACAATTTTCTTTGAAAATTACTTCTTGTTTTTTTTAAATCTCCTCACTCCCTTTTCGAAAAATTTCAAAAAAAATATTCATTTCATTTTTAAAACATTTTACGTGATTAAAATTTTTTTCTCTCATCCGCATTACTTTCAACTAAATAATTAGTTTACTCTTTTTAAACTTTTTATAAAATCAAATGAAGAACTTTATTTTGGAAACAAAGGAAATACTCTTTAATAATATTTCTTGAATTCTTTAATTGTGCAAAGGACAATGACGTTTTCCAAAAGTGGAGTGTCTTTTGGAAACAATTTTCTACCACATGGTAATGTTTATTAATTTCACTCACCCCTCAAATGCAACTTATGGGACTTCATTGAGTGGGTTATATGTTTGCTCTAATGATGGTCAATGATGCTAATAATACTCATTTTCTCTCTAATTAAGGTTTCATATTATATGAGACTAGGGATGTAAAAAAATTAAATATTTTGAATTCGATTCGTGATTTGTATTCGAATATAATGATTCGAATTCGCATTATTCAAATACAAATTCAAATTCAAATATCACTTTTGTTTCAAATATTAAACATACACAGATACAAATAGGAGTATATTCGATTCGGGTGATATTCGAAAATTCAAATATATGTATATGCACACAAACCATGTTTCAACATCAATATAGTAGAGCAAAGTAATATAGTATAAAATTTATTTAAATTATTAAGAACTCAACAAATTAACGTAACACCAAAATCTAAAGCATATGATTTTTAATAATTATATTTTATAAAATATAATTTGTGTGAGGTGAAAATGTATTAATATTTTAAGATATAGTATAAGAAGTATTGTAAGTTAAATTATTCAAAATTTATGTTGCTCTATCATATAAATTACGCAGTATGATTATTAAAATATTTGTTTAGGATTCGTTAAGTATTCGAATATTAATCAAATACAAATTCAAATTTTATTTTTAAGTCGTCTCATATTCGGATTCGGATTCGTATTCGAAAAAAATAAGCAAATACAAATTCAAATATCTCGATATTCGCTTCGATTAGGTTCGTTTACACCCCTATCTGAGACACGATCTTTTAAATATATAAAATTAAGAAATCGGGAGTTATGCAAAGAGAGAGAAATGATGTGCTTCATAAGTAATATTATCAATTATTTAAAAAGAAAATACAACGTTATTTTAGAACTTTTCTCTTAGCTGGCTGGCAGTAAGTCCACTTTCAAATATTAATGGGAAAGTTTACTTAGATCCGAGTTTCAGAGGAGAAGAAAACATTAACTTATCGTACATCATTAGATCGATAAAAATAAAAATGAATATTATATTTAATAGAGTCAATTAATAATTAATACTCCCTACCTCCTGAAATTATATTCCTTTTTTGCTATTCTAAAATTCCGGTAACTTTTACTTATTTATGTATTTTCATTGATTATTGGATAAAATAAAATATTCTTGTCACCACATATTTTGTAAAAATTTTGATGCAGTTTTTAAATATGTAAGTTTTAATTTATTACCAATCTTTATACAAAATAAATTGAAAAAATTTAAAATTTTACTTCGTTTTGCATAATGTAAAGATAATTATGAGACACAGAGGTATTAAAAAACAATGTAACACTCGTTTTTTGGAAAACACAACATTATTTTTGTTGAATGGATCTTATTTCTTTCATGCTTCGTCTAACCTAGCACACCACACATACCGTCAAGGCGATTTAAAGACATGACAAATTTTATGGTGGATCTAAGCTAAGGTTCACCATGAACCTTCATAAAAGAAAAATAAGTAAATCCTAACTACTTAAATGAGCATTTATTTTAATTAAAAATAAAAAATATAAAAAAAAGTTTTTTATGTGAAAAGTTTTACAAAATTGGTATGCACCCAAGATGTACCATAGAAGTACTTTGAAGGCAAATTCTTCCGCGGCCCTAAACTCCATGTTCATTTTATGGTTCTTAATGAATTTGTAGCATTTAAGAAGTGGACCTTTTGCAGAAAAGAAAATATTCACATGTAAGCCCATGAAAATATGTGAGAAGATCCACATTTTAAATGTAGACTTTGAAACCATATAAATATTACTTTAGTTCGAAAGCTTAATATTTAAAATATAAAAAGATCCCCATTCTATTTTTAAAAAGAAATCTTAAATTCGTAATTACAATTTGTATTACGGAGTATAATACAGAGTACAATTTGATTTTCGATGGTCAAAAATTTAGAAATGTGATCATAAAATTCGAAAAACAATATTGAATAATAATGTAAGTTTACTATAATTTAATTAATCTTGAAATATATATTTAAATTTCATATTTATATAAAATTTATAAGTATATAAATATAAATATTAATACTAAAAATGTATATATTGAGGACTCTAAAAAAGTCAACTAAGAACCTTATATTTCATGAATACACGTTATTTATTAGTATCCTTCAACTAAAATATTTTATCATGTTTTGGAATAATTTTGTAGTTGAGACTACACATAATAATAAAATTTTTTAAGAAAAAAAATTATATTTAAAATTATTTCTAATTTGTTCAAATTTAAATTGTTTCTAATTTGTTCTAATTTAATTTCATTGCAATAACAATTAGTAATACTACACACTTTGTTGAAATATAAGTAATGAATAAGAAAAAACGAAGGAAATATTATCTTAATTAAAAACTAACCTATCATTATTTAGAACTTTACGTAAATTTATAGTTGTGACTTTTTTGACCGAAATGCCACACACTTTGTTTATTAATAAATACAGTTTTAAATTGAAAAAATTCACACCAATACTTTAAAAAATTTGTGATTTTCTGTAAATACTCTGGAATTTAATAATTTACATTACTGCTCCCAATTATTGCTGAATTTTATACATATATTCTGAGCTACCAACTAAACAAAATACGTAGCATTTTTTAATGATGACTGTAAATTATTAAGTATGTGTTAGTAACTACGAAGTAATAAAAAATAAAGGAAAATCATGTTTGAGATAAAATAAAGATAATTGTAAATGTTTCATAATCAAATTTATGCTCATTGGAAAGATATTTAAAATATAAATTCTTGACAATATCAACTTTAAAATTTTTTAAGCTTCTATTTGAAATACTATTCATAATTTATCCGATTAAAATATAAACACTTTATTATTTAGTTTTAACACTTTTTTTAAATTTTAAATCGACATGGAGGGGGTAATTATAATGCATTCAATGTTTTTTATTTTTATTATTAATTAACAACTTATACTTAAGAATTATCTAGTTTCCATTTAAAATGCCACCTATTCAGCTTAGTTGGCACATAGAGTATTGATGTAAAATTGAGTAATTTCTAGAAGCACTGGTGTCAATTATTTAATTTCGGGGTATTAAACAAAAATTCACACATTTTTTTAATTTCAAAAATGCTTATTTAGCATATATAATGGTCCACCATGGACTTTATTAGGTACATGTAATAATTTGCATAGTTTTATTGGGGTCAAAAAGAGTGTTTAGTTATAGAATGAATTTTAAATAAATAGGCTAGTTTATTACGGAGTATAAGATACGACATATCGACATATGTACATGAATATTTATTTATCCAGTTTGAATTTTTTATAGTTAAAATGATAAAATTTGATTATTAATTAAATAAAAATGATATTAAATTTTGATAAAATATAATTTTATTTGATTATTTTATGTAATATTGTCAAAATATTGTTTTATCTAAATAATATATCACATACTTGTTAATTAATCATAAGTCAAAAGTTGAATATGAGTGATTTATGGATGAAGATAATATAATTTTAATATGTCAAATTTATAATCTCCGTAATATTTTTATTATTTAATTTGTGATTTAAAAAAATTACAAAAATCAAACAAGGTGGGTGAAAAGACCGTCCTCTCCTCTCTTCATTATTTCTCTAAGGAGTGCTTCTATGGTGCACTTTGGGTGCATATTATTTTTGTAGACCTTCTCATATAATTTTTTTTTTAACATTTTTTAAAAAATAAATTCATGATTATCCAAATAGTAAAAAAAAAATATTTATTTTACTCATATGTAAATCTATGATAGACATCCATTTTTGGTATCTCACAAATGTGTATTTCATTATTTCTCTCTCAATTGAAAAAAGGTGCATCCACATCTAGACCACACCCACGCCACCGGCTCTTCCTCTTATTGAGACCCCACTCTTTTTTCTTTCGGGTCGACCCCTTTTACATATACTTTCTCCCTCTCCCTCTCCCTCTCTTCTTCTTTCTTCTATCGATGCGAAAAACCCTAAGTATATGGTGATGATGATCGGATCGGAGCTCAACCGCAACCCATATTAAGCACACACAACCTCCTCATCATCTCCATCAATCATCATCAACCCATATACACACATATATATATGTAGAGAGAGAGAGAGAGTACAGTGGTGCCTAGCCTTTTCTTTTCCTCAGATCGAGACAAATGAATAAAAAGGAGAGAGGGAGGAGGGAGATCACGGAAATGACTGTGTGAAGGAAGAAGAATATATTGATTATATTCTTTCTTTCTCTTTCCGCCCTTGCCTCTTTTTCATTGTGAAGATCGAGAAAAGGGATTAATTAATTAATACTGGCGCTGCTCCCGATTAATAATAGTAGTAATAATTTAATGGATTCAAGCAATAATAGCGGGAGCATTCAGTCCTCCAGCGGCGGCGACGAGGAGTACGATTCCTACTCCCTTTTCCTCAGCAAGACGATCGCCGGTCAACTCTCCCAACCCCCGCCGCCCCCCGCCTCCTCCTCCGCCCTCTTCACCCCCTCCTCCGCCTTCCTCTCCTCCTTTTTCGACCCTTCCACTCCCTTTTCCCTCGACCCCCTTCCCGATTTCCCCCCTTCCTCTTGGCCCTCCATTAGTAGCAGTAACAACAACAATAATAAATCTCTCCCCTCTCCCGCCGCCGCCGCCGCCGCTCATCAGATCAATCCCTCTTCCGCCGCCGCTCACCATCAGTATCTCCCCTCTCCGCCGGAGCCCAACGGCAAGGACCAGAACAGCCGCGTCATCCGGAACTCCAAGAAACGGTCCCGCGCTTCCAGGAGAGCGCCGACCACCGTCCTCACCACGGACACCTCCAATTTCAGGGCCATGGTTCAGGAGTTCACCGGGATTCCGGCGCCTCCCTTTTCTTCCTCGCCCTTCCCCAGAACTCGCTTCGATCTCTTCGGCTCCTCCACCGCCGCCCCCCATCAGCCGCCGTATCTCCGCCGCCCCTTTCCCCAGAAGTTAATAATCCCGCCGACCCAGCAACAGTCTCCGCTACTCCCGCTGCCTCCGGCCTCCTACAACAACAACAGCAGCAGCAGTCTCTTCGCCGGCGGCGGCGCTCAGCACAGCTCCCTCCTCTCCTCCCTCCTCCAGTCATCATCCCCAAAATACCCCCGAGATCCCCTCCAAATTCCGTCCACTGCCCCGCCGCCCAAAGTCAACGACGACTTCATCAGCGCGGATCTCGCCGGCGGCCTCCCGGGGCTGGTGTCTTCGGAACATGGACAACTCGCAGCCGATCCGGGAAGCTGGCGGGGACCACCGGGCGTCAGCGACGACCAGCTCCGAGCGATAACCGGCGATCAACACCGTCGTCGCAGCTCCAACGACGGCGAGCCTAGCGATAACGGAGAAACCAACTTCCGGGCGTCAAATTTTAACGGAGGAGACAAGGAGCCTAATAACGAAGGTATGACGGAGCCGTGGGTTTGTTCTTCAGACTTGAAATGATTGCACCATTGAAAGTTAGTTTTATGAATCATCATCATCATCATTCCCCGCATATATATATATATATATATATATGATGTATGTATATGTCATCATATCATGATGGTTTAGTTGATGTTATCATCCAAACGAGGAACTTAAGTTAAAGGAGAGGTTAACTGCAGCTGCTGCATGTTATAGTTCATTATCACCTCCACCACCATCATCATCATCTAGTTTTCTTTAACCATAATACCTTAATTATTTATCATCACAAAAAAAACATCATCACACAATTATATGCCCTATTTATGTAATTTAAAATGTTGTTACTAATTAAGCTAGCTAGTAGATTATTTCTAGGATCATCTTCGTGAATATATACTACTAGTAAAATGCCTTTATTTTTTGAATAATTTACTTAAATAGGACTAAAATATAATGACTTTCTCAACATATGACCATATCTTTTTATTTCCCAATGTAGGATCATTGGTAATTATCCATTAGTCATTATTCACTAAATGTCAGTATCATTTTGACATTATTCTTTTCACTAGACATTATTAAGTCCTATTTAAGGAATACAAGAATTTAAGTACTATATTAGAAAATTTTACACATGTTTTAGTCCAGTGCAAATTTCACTTATTTTTAGTTTTAAAAAAATAAAGATGATTAAATATAGCCCATAGACAGAAAGAATCAATGGCATCTGAAACTATATGTTAAATCGTGATCTTATGTACCTTCCTCGGACCTTCCTTTTCTCATATGATACACTTAATTGATTAATCTTTTTCTCTATAATAAATTAATTAAACTAGGAAAAAAATGCACTAAGCAATTTTTTCGAGATATATATGGGGAGTGATTGTTGGCGATAATTGAGGAATAGATAGATGATTTGGGCGCTACTTATTGTCTCGACATTTACGTACATCAGACTAATTAAGGACATGAAAACATAGATATTATGAATCGCATAGACGTTTTTAGATTAAAGTTGTTTCGGAGTTGTGTCTAACACAAATATCAGATAACACAAATATCAACTAGAAAGAGTACTATAACAGGTTCTCTCCGATCTGTGATTCATACCATACTCCATTTTTATGGAGATCAGAAAAAGCGACCAAACATGTTTATTGACATGAACTAACATGACTATTTAGACAGTCTTTCATAATTTGAATACTCTCTCTATTCCCATATTTAACTACCCCAGTCGGTTACTATTCTAAATTTTCGATAACTTTTGTTTATTTGTGTGTTTTCGTTAATAATTTGATAAATTAAATTATCTTAATGTATTCCCTCCGTTTGCAAAAAGACTTCCCATTTTGATTTGGTGCAAAAATAAGGAAGTGTTAAATTATAGTTGATTTCCAATTTTGCCTCCGATGTGATTGGTAAAAGTAAGATGTGATGGATAGAAAATTAATATTTCATGCAAAAATATATTTCATGGATATAGTTGATTTCCAATTAAATAACATATATAATGAAGATTAATATTTCATGCAAAAATACAAATGGATTCTAGGTCAATATGGTCAACGGGGCTCGTTCTACAAACTACCCGAAGTTCTGCCCAAAGAATGGTCTGGGTCTAGGACACAAACGGTCCACCGTCACAGCCGGCGGTCGACCGTCACGGTGGTGACTGTTGGAATGGCCGAGGGAACGGTCCACCGTCCGTAGCGGTGGTCGACCGTCCCGAAGACATTCCTCTGTCCTTAGCTTCGTTTTGATCCATTTTGAATACTTAACACCTTGATTCTTTTTAGAACATTAATACAAACATTGTTGAATATATTCCTAGTGATTCCTAGGCGAATATTTATAGGTTTTACGTAGTGAATGTTTTGATGGCTAACCTACGAACATGCATAGATTCTACGTAGGTTGCGTACTATATTCCTATGAATATTATAGTGACATAGATTATAACTAAATGTTCTAGAATTAGAGGGAACAACTACTCACCTCTAAATGAAGGGGTTGACAGATCGATGGAACGAGATAAACGAACGGTTGACAACGTTGAACGACGAATGGTTTCTCGTGGACACCTCGCTCTCTTCTTCCTCCTCGTCTACTCGCCGGAACTCCTCCCTGAGCTGCTGCTGCCTTGGCCGAAAACAAGAGAGAGAGTTGTGAGGGTGTGAATGTTTGGGGGGGGGGGGGGGGG